TAGGAACAAAATACTTCAAGGAATGAGCAGTTTGCCATAAATGTGACAAAGAAACTTCAGGCCTTTTGGTCCAGGAGTGGTCACGCCTCACTCACATGACTGTTTCCCATCTCTTTTTTATTTATAAGGAGATCCAAGCACGACTAGCTTGGCAGAGGTAGCTGTGCTGTAGATATGCCAAGCGAGGTGAGATGACCCAAGTTTAAAGTCTCAAGTGTGTTGACCACATTGCCACCGAGAAAATGCAAGAAAAACGCAGCTGCGGTAATTATTGTAGCTAATTGCTTAAGCAGTCCAACTGTAATTCAAACATCAGTTTTGTAGCTTCTGGTTTAACATCTCAATACGCACAGAGAACTCTTCTCCCAGGCTGGTTATCTTTACTTCACAGAACAGGCACTTCCTATTAGATGATGTGGAAAAAGTACCCCCAAGAGATGTATGACCTACTTGAATCACCCTGAGAAAGAAAATGATTTTCTGAAGTTAAATGTAATTTTCAACTTGCACTAAACAGCATGAAGCATTTTTGCTTTCTTCATATAATCCGTGTACTCCAGTCTACCTGCTAACATGAAAAAGGGGCTTCCTTTTAGATTGTAGGAGCACTTGGCCTATCACTTGCAATTGCAGCTATTAAAAATAGTCTTAACATTCAGCGGTAATTGCAGGTGAACTTTTAAAGCATTTGGTTCAAGAATTTCCACCAAAGAGCAAACTGCTCCCTTCATGGCATGTAATCACGGCCATTCCAAGGAAGCCATTGTAACCATGTGTTGCATTAAATATTTTCCTCATTTTTCTTAAACATTTCTCTCTTTTAGTGCCAATTACAGCTAGAAGGCAATTGGGAGAAATGCTGATACTAAGCCAGTCTTTTGCATAAAAATGATTTCACACTCAGTTTACTTTAGCTTGGTCGTGAATATATCAAACCTTAACAGTAAATTTAAAAAAAATCCCTTTAGTTTTCTCCTTAAGTCATATAGCAGTAACCTAGAAGGAACGCTGCAGACTTAAAGGACTCTATTTTATTTTAAAAGAACTAAATATTTCTTACCTTTAACAAACTTACGTGCAGCCTAAACCCAAAAAAGTCAAGGAAGAAAGTATTTTCTCCCAGAATTCTCTTACAACTAACGTATGGTCTGAGGCTGTTGGGGTGGGAAGGTCCTAGAAACTTCCTCTAAGGGGACATCAAAAGCATCTGCAAGAGGCAGGACTCCTGAATTCACCAAATACCTCCAGAAAACTATCCGTAACAGCATTATTATATAGTGGATAATGCACTAGGATGTAACAAAACCACCCCAGAATCTGAAATGTAAGACATAATACTCGCAGGTGTCACGGTACCTAGCCAGCACGTCTCAGAGAACAACAATTTCTGTACGTTCTAATCTTTTGTTCCTTCTAGTCTTCTGTATGACAATTACCATCAAAAGAGAGGAAAAAAAAAAAAAAAAAAAAAAACTTGTGCCTTTTTTTAAAAATAAAACTAGTTTTATAAAAATGACAGTAAAACGGGACTCTCTTTGTTCCTGGAGGTTGTCTGAAATGGCAGCGGGGAACCAAGACAGTGAAAAATTAGCAAGTGAGGCAGGAGTTAACCTACTGAAAACTTTATTTACATCTGTTGAGACTATTTAGTGCCAACATCCAATATGCCTTTCGGATGAAAGTTTTCCTTTAAAAATCCAGCATAGGAACCTCTTCATTATGGAGACACCATTTATGAGCAAGAGTTCTCAGCTATCCTCCCCTGAAGGTGGGCAACAACAGCCAGGGCAGTTCTTAAAATGAGACAAAAGGATACGTGCCACTTCTCAAGCCTTTCTTAGATATCATAAAGATCCACAGTGCTTTTCTTAGTGTGGAAATAACGTCGGAGATACCAGGCAATACAGAAACACTGACTGAAGGCAAGAGGAAAGAAGAGAAGCTGCTCACATACAGCTTGAAATATTCCAATACCAAATGTTTTTTATAGTTTATATATCTATATATCCATCACTCACCATCCCATAACAGTCCTGTGACTCTCCCCTCCCCACCGCTGTGCCCCACCCACAAACATGCAATCAACATCCAGGGTATTTTTAACAGGGGCTTTGGTATACAACTTCCTACAGGAAACGTTGAGCCTCGAGTACCCAAAGTGGTGCACTGTTCGGTCACAGCAAAATGAAGGAAGCCCTAATGCTAGAAAAATGTTAACTCCCTGCAAGCAATGACACACATAACGCCACAAAATTCCCTCGCACCGTGCCCATAAAGCAAAGGGCCTCTCCAGCTTGCAGATTCCCCTCAAAAAATTCTTTGTGGATTTGAGCAGAACAGGCTTTATTCATTATAAACTCAGCTTATAAATTATACACCCCAGCAGGCAGAAAAGCCCATCACAGAATCAAACTCTTACAGGTTGTGATAAAACAGAAATATCTGCGAGTGTCATCCCGCAGCAGCAGAGACTCCCTGCAAAGTCACGTCCACTTGAGCCAAAGACTCTCCCTCAGAAAGCAGCACAGCCTGCGGCACTCCGAGGCAACACATTCAAATAGAGAATTGAGCCATTTGACGTCCAAACTTTTCTTTAGAGATGTCTGTTGGTCTTTATTAGCCACCAGGGAGCCTGAATTACATGCAAAATTGAGACGGATCAAGGCATGAGCAGGGTAAAAGGGAAAAATTAAAAAAAAAAAAAAAAGTGTTTCATTTTTCAGTTTGGGATGGTTGGAAAGGTTTTCTCGTTTGTTGTCAGAGAAATGAATGGCAAATTTTCAGATACACTAGCAAGCAGAGTCTTTGTCCTCTGCACTTCACTGCTCGCCATCTGGTGTGCTCAATTGCATATAACAATATTTCGCTATTTGTTCCAGTAACTTTTGCATACTAAAACTTCGGAGTCTTTAAATCATTGTAGTCTATGACAGATGTAAAAATGGCTTCGCTTTCTTGTACCCGTCATATCCGATCAGAGCACGCGTCTGCGTGGCATGGCACCCAGCTCCCACACTGGTCAGGTAACAGCTGCTTCAGAGGAAACCGCGCGCCGTGCTGCGATAGGTAGCTGGGGAATAATAAACTGCCCAGAAGGAAGTTACTTCCCCAAATACCTGCTCTGCGTGCAACTGCTGTTAAACTGGGTTCTTCATCTTGGCGAGAGGTCGTACTGCTCTTCAGTTCCTCCTGCACTGACCCTGGGACCCAAACTGACAGTGATGGTGGGGGGCCACACCATGATGTTAAGTGGTTCCTACCTCGGTGCTCGGAAACATCCATCCCTTAAAGCTCTGTGTAGTAAATACATCATACAAAAAGGGAATGATTATATTTTAATTTTTTTTTTTTAAATTATTTAGCTCAAGATGCTAAATACAGAGGTCACAAGATGTCTTACTTTCGAACACTGATACTTGGAGGAAATAATTGAAGTATATGCTGTGACCAGAGCCTTCGTGGTAGGTGATGGGGAAGCAACAACATGAGTAACTGCTGAGGAAGACACACTGGTGCACAACATAGAACAAACTGGTACTGCAAACCGCATCTCTGATTCAGCAGAACATACCAGCTGTGGATTAATTAGCAAGGAAGCAGTTTACCCACCATGATTTTCTTGACATGAAGATGAAGCAAAATCAGTGGAGTGCAGTAGCCTACAGTGGAGTGCAGTAGCCTACATAATGACAGTAGTTTGCCTGCCAGCAATGCCACAAAACTCTGATTTTACCTGATCAAGACCTCTTCATAAAAGGAACATTTCAAGCTGGGAAAACAAAAGGCTTCACAGGCCTTTATCGGTTTGGGCTGATCAGGTGATAATTGACTATTCTGCTATCCATAACATAAAGCTACCTGGAAGCTGGAAAGGTGCTGCACCTCCTCCTGCAGTTAAGTCAGTCAGAAATGGCCTTGAGAGCCACCTCGCTGCTCTGCCAGATGGGCACCGCAGGCATTCAGCCCCCAGAAACCAACTGAAATTCTGATGCGCTACGTCCTGTGCAGGTCACAGTGCTGCTTGGTGCAGAGCGGTCTTGCCTGCCCAATCTCGTGGGTATCCTACAGAACTGGAGCATCCTCCCTCATGGTAGCTCTAGCCCACTGCAGATTCTCTTTTCCCAACTCTTTTTCCAAAATTTCAGCCTTTTTGTATTCCTTCCCAACTCTCCACAGCCTGCATCAGTTCTGGACACATCCTCACCCCTCCCAGTTACTCTGCTGCATCCTTACAGTCGGTGCAAGAATCTGGAAGCTTCGCTTGACGTACCAAGGATGGCGTTAAACACGTGGAGATGAAACCGTACCAGAAAGCTTGTGGTCTCTAGCCAGGATGTCTGGACTAAGACTGATGGCTGTAAGGGGAAACCTGGGGGTGGGGGTTCATCATCACCTCTAACTGTGTGTAACAGCATGTCTGACAACACCTAAGCTACATGTCCAGATTTTAACAACAGCCAAAGGAGAGCTGGTAATTCGCTGGAGCTCCGAGTACTGCTTCTCTGGCCAAATGCAGCCATTTCCTTCAGAACGAGGTGAATCACGCAGATACACAAATGGCATCGTGTGGCCCTTTGCTGACCTACAGAATCCCAGAATCATCCGGGTTGGAAAAGCCCCTGCAGCTCCTCCAGCCCCACCATGACCCTCACCCTGACTGTTCCCAGCTCCCCCAGATCCCTCAGCACTGGCTCAGCCCGACTCTTCAACCCCTCCAGGGATCCCGGGGACTCCCCCCTGCCCTGGGCAGCCCATTCCAACGCCCAACAGCCCCTTCTGCACAGAAATCCTTCCTCAGAGCCAGCCTGACCCTGCCCTGGGCAGCTTGAGGCCATTCCCTCGGGGCCTGGCGCTGGCTCCTTGGCTCCAGAGACTCATCCCCCCTCTCTGCCCCCTCCTGGCAGGGAGTTGCCGAGGGCCAGGAGGTCTCCCCTCAGCCTCCTCTGCTCCAGACTGAACCCCCCCAGTTCCCCCAGCCGCTCCCCAGCAGACCTGTGCTCCAGACCCTGCCCCAGCTCCGTTGCCCTTCTCTGGCCACGCTCGAGTCACTCAATGGCCTTTTTGGGGTGAGGGGCCCAAAACTGAACCCAGCAATCAGAAAACAGTAAACCCAGAGAGGGAGCCCTGGGTGACTCGCAGACAGTTAGGGTGATGTTACAGAAATCATACTTAGCGCTGTCAGTCTTACCCTGGCATCCACTTTCTGAGCTCAGGTTTCCACCAGCTCTGCTTAAACCAGCTGGAGGTACATCAGCGCTACTGGGGAGCACGTCCCATCTGAAAAAAAAACGGCAGCTGTATGGGTAAAACAAACCCTGCACAAACTCTTCAGAGTGCTGAAGGGCAATGCTTTATTCCACACAGAACTGGAGGGTGAAGGGCCACAGCTGAAATGACAATGGCACAGTGTCACTTGCATTTGTCACTCCATGCCTGAGCTATAATAAGAGTTTCTTTGTACGGATACGGACACAACGGCAATTATGGCAAAATATTTGAGCTAACCACTGGAGAAGTCTATATGAGTTTAATCCAAAAAAAAGTCTCCTCTTCACTGGGGAGCTTGGTTTTCACAGAGTCCTTTGCATTCCCTTTCTTTTCTTCCCTTTCTTTCTGGGGGATCCAGGCCAGGGAAAACCCCGGAACTCCAGGAAGGCAGGGGCATTGTGACAGATGTAGTAAGCATTGAGCATGGCCGCTGGGCTGAGGAGATCCACTTCCTTCACCACCTTCTTTGCTTTCTTTTTGGAGCCTTTGCCTTTGCCACGCTTGGGTTTGCGCCTTTTAGCTGCCTGCAGAGAGAAAATGACCACAAAAACCACTCAGTTCTGCATCTTAGTTGTCTTGCTTATGAGTAAGGATCCCAGGACATCCCGCAACAGCTGTTTCATCTTAGTCCTGACACGCAGCATTAGCTCAGAGCCCCCTACCACAGAGTCCTGTACTTTGTGGTGATTTTATACATGGACTCACAAGCATTAATACACTTCCACCAAATCTGTATTTGCTCCGTAGGCTATCAAAATCTTTAAAGTCATCAGACTGAGCTAATTAGTGTTCCTCTGTGCTTCTTCTCTCTGGCTAAGACAGGTTTGTGCTCAATGAATACCATATTCAACTGATTTTTTTAATTAATCCATTACAATACAATCCTGAAGTAAACTAAGCCTGTGTTGTGTGTTCATCCACTACTGTGTGCCTACTTGTGCCTCTGGATCATAAACCAGAAAAGCAGGTCTCCCATCTACAGCTGTGGCCTTTTCAAGGCTCTGTGATACAGCTGCTCTTCTACTACTAGGGGTAACACAAATCCCAAAAGCACCTCTCCCATTCTGTATGTAGGACGGAGGTGTTGCCAAGACTCACCCAAGCCCGAAAGCAGGCCGAAAAAATACTCCTGTTACCTCCAGCTCAGCCTGAGCACTCAGCCTCTCGCCTCCGAGACGGATTTGCCAGTCTGATTCACTCCCTGGATTGTTTTCTCACTCATCCCGGCCACTCCTCACAACAAGCCTGGAGTGCGTCTGCGTGGAAGATGCTGCCTCCAGGTATTGGGCAACAAAAGCAGGGTCAGAGACCCAGAGGGATCTCTCATTGCTGCTGCGCAGACAGGAAAATGGTGATGGCAACGCAGAGCCAGAAGGTGGGCAGTGTCCTAGGAACATCGAGGACGGAGTGACAGCTAATCCCAGAGAAAAGGCTGGACGGGAGCATTTACACATCCTGACTGAAAGTGTTTCATCTCTGGTCCGGTGCCAAGAGCACTTTCAGTACACACCGAGTCACTTTATGCATCTGCCCATCCATTTCTGTTATTTGCCTGGTTTTGCATACAGTAATTAAACGGATCTAAGCACTTCATTAGGAAGAATTAGCACAGATACAGCCAGAAAGGCACATGTAACTATCCGTTGGGCATAAGCAAGGGGAAAGTAGCACATTTTTCATGGTATCAGTTCTAAAGAGTCACTTTACAGCTCAGTACTGTTAAGTGCAAAAGAGACAAACATCTGTGCTCTGAGGTATGAGAACAGAATCAGAGGTACAACCTTCAGAATCAGCCAGGACCCCAGTGTGAAGGAATATGTACAGGTAAAGAAAAGAAAAAAAAAAAAGATTTCTATCTATCCACAGAAGAAAGACGGACAGAAAATACAGAGTGCAAACTGCAGCTGGTGGCAGATTGTTTCCTAAACCTTCAGCCATGCAGAGTGCAAACCACGTGAACTCAGACTTGTATTAGAGAAGGTGACAAGCCTTTTTTGCAGACCTTGACTGGATAGAATTTGTTGAATAGTTCATGTGCTGGAATGTGCATATTTCAGAGTAGATGCTTATGCCAGATTTTTCAACCAGTCACTCGAATCCCACTCACCGTTTACACACTCCCAGCAGGGTCTCTGGCAGATTTTGTGACACAATTAGGTACCTGGTCAGAACTTGGTCTGTAGCTGATTTTTCAAAATAAAAAAGGTGCTTACAGGTAAGGAGAAACTTAGTCTAAGTCTGCAGTGAGAACCAGGGAATGCCTTTTGTCTAAAGCAGACTCGCTGCTCCTGCCATCCCTCAGCAGTGGTTACCTGACCTCAAGGCTTTAAACTTTCTCCATTGTTGTCAGCAACTGTCTTTTCTGTTTCCCATCTCTCATAAAATGTGGCGTCGGTAAGCTACAGTCTGCGGTCAGCTCACACATTTGAGCCCAACCTAGAGCAGGGGCTCCCAAAGTGTGGGGAGCTCAGAAGCTACAACACAGCACCAGGAATATTGTCAGAAGTAACACCTTGCACGTATACGTGCACATACGGCAGCGCCAGAGCCAACGCTCTGGCAACCCCGGGATTTCTGATGGGTTTGGTGTCATGTTGAACAGAGCACATTTCTTTTTCAGTGTGTAAAGGCAGGACTCACACAGATCAAACTTCCCACCGTGATTTCTTGTGAGTTTTAAAACTACAGCCCAGCATGACACCTGAACGCTCTTCAGAAGTACTGGGAAATCCATGTTTGTGCAGCATTTTCACCCCACAGTAAGATTTGAGGCTTTATGGGACATGTGCAAAATTTTACAGCCTGTAGCCAAGGACAACAATAAAAGCTAAAAATCAGAATTGGGTACAGACTTGCACACAAAGTGAATTTGGGCAGGTCAGCTTCTGTCCTGCAGCCTCGGGAAGGAAACTTTTAGATATTAACTCTATTTCCTTAAAAAGCAGTATTAATGATCTTCAGAAGACTCAAACCTGTATTACCATGGCTTTTTACTGAGCAGTGGGACTCCACGTCAAGCCTTGAAGATGGACCCTGCAACACACAATCAATCACAGTGGGTTATGCACTGTGCAGAGCACTAGTATCCTTCCCCCCTAAACTTTATAAAGGAGGAAAAGAAAAATATAAAGTTAGTCCTTTGCAAAAACAGGTCGAGGTGTGTTGTAGCTAAAAGCGTTTCTTTGCCATCGCCTGTGATGTCACATACTAACTGCGAGATTCCAGGACTCAGCTTTTCAGCACAGCCCTTGAGATTTACTCCACAACACAAGACTAGACAGGGAAAAGGGGGAAGCCTGAACCCAGCTCAGTGCGGGCGACCTGAGCCCAGGGCAGCGCTGCCGGGCAGCTCCAGCCCCACGGCACCCACCCACCCGTCCCCGCTGCAGGACACCCTGCGCAGCGCGGGCGGGACCTTACCTGCCGTCTGCACAGCACCCACAGCCTCCTCTTCCCCTCCTGCGGGGCCAGAAGAAACGGAGCTGAGCAGAGTCTCCCCCGCGTGAAAAGCCAACGGGCTCAGAGACACAACGCCCCAGAAATAAACCCACAAAGCTTAAGCGCAGCCCAGCGCAGCCCCCCGCGCTGCCTGAGGCGGGTCCCGCTCCTCGCCCTCCCGTCACGGTCACGGCCACCAGACACCACCACCTCCCCACCCCGCAGCCCCCCGCCCTTT